AACTAACGTTTTAAAAGTTTTGCAAGAGGTGCAGTTACGTGAGAAAATACCAGTACTTCATTTTTAGCATTAAATTTTTTGTAGAAACCCATGCCGGTATTCGTTTAAGTTAATTCCCATTATTTTTAATGGCATATTTTTTGCACTGGATTGTTTTTGGCATGTTTCTCTGTGTTGCTGTATGACAGTATTTTGAGAATATTATATTTTTGCAGAATTTTACGGCAATTATCGGTCCAAACGGTAGTGGTAAGAGCAATGTGATTGACTCGTTGCTGTTTGTGTTTGGTTATCGTGCTTCGAAAATTCGTTCAAAAAAGATAAGCGTTCTCATTCACTCATCAGCCGGCCGCGAAAACATTTCCAGCTGTACAGTTGGCGTAAATTTCCAGAAAATCATTGACTTGGTTTGTCTTTTTTAATGCGTTTTTTGCAGCAGTGCAATGCGAAAAATGCATATTGACGAGAGGTTTTCTGTGTGTGTGTGTGTGTGTGTGTGTGTGTGTGTGTGTGTACACGCTGCGCGTCTGTACCGGTTTTTCATCTCAAGACCCACAAAAGCTACAGGGCTGAAACTTTGGAGACTTAATCTACATGCGCGTACGGGCCCCCGTCCTCAGAATGGGCGGTCTTTCCAACGTGGTACCCACATGAGATCCCGCCAAAGTTCTTTACGCGTAAGCTGCTTACTCGCGAAACAGAAAAGCTAAAGAGCTAAAATTTTATGAGAATGTTCCCCGTCCAAGTAGGTACTAATGAGCTCAAACCCAACGCCCGGGTAGGCGTGGTGCTTGCGTACGGGCCTGCCTAAGTTTTTCCCGCCTAAATTCATAACTCAGGGTTCTGAGATGCTAGAAAGCTGAAGTTTTAAGAGAATTTCCCCCGTCCTAGTAGGTACTAATGAGCTCAAACCCAACCCCCGGGTAAGTGTGGTACTCGTGCATGGGCCTTCCAAAGTCTTTCCCGGGCAGGTTCATAACTCGGAGATCTGAGATGCTAGAAGACTGTAACATTAAGAGGGTGTTTCTCATCCACATTAGTCTCAACGAAATTAAATCCAGCCCTCGGTCATGCGTAGTACCTACGCACGGGTTCACCAAAGTTTTTCTCGGGTAAGCTCATAACTCGAGGACCTGTAAAGCTAAAAGACTATAGTTTTAGGAAGATATCCCCCGTCCAGGTAAGTCTCAGCGAGCTTAAACCCAGACATCGGGCATGCGTGGTACCCGAGTGCGGGATTGTGAAAAATTTTTTCCAGTGAACTGCTAACTCAGGAGCCAGGAAAGCTAGAAAATGAAATTTTAAGAGGGTGTTTCCTGCCAGTTTTGGTGACCAGTCTAAATTTTTTTAGCTAAAAGGATCTGCCGAAAAAATCGATGCCGGTAGCGACAAAAACTGCGGGGAACTCGGCAAAAAACGCATCATCGCACGGACAGCCCGTGCATTGGCCAGTTATTTCACTCTGTGTAGTAGTAATGTGCAGCATTTCAACACACGTTTGGCGAGAACCGAGGCCTATCGAGGGATGCAAAATCTCTCGCCAAAACTTTCACGTTCCCGTAACTGAGACTGAGGCATATTTGGAAGCTGAATTTGAATTCTCGCAGTTGCACTGTCACAGAAACATCCCCTTTAAATTTCGGCATGTTAGTTTTACTTTCCCTCCTACTGGTGTAATGTTAGTCTTCTATATAGTCACCTTTATTTCCTTCCTTCATCTTTCTTCAGTAATTCACATGTTCCTTTTAATATGGCGGAATGGGCCGCGGTATTGATGATTCCTGTCTCATTTCGCGCCAGTTCTGCCGTCTTTGTTTGCAGTTCAGGAATGAAACACAGACGGGGCACCAGATCAATGTACATACAGGCTTGCTTATCTGGAAGATCTAAATGGCACTTCCGTTTTTCCCTTAACTGTCAAAATTCAACTGT